TGGTAACTGCTGATGCAGGATGTTGAGTATATAAGAACTCACTGCACTATTCTCTTCATATCTGTAGGTTTTAAATTTTCCACACTTAAAAAATGAACAAAATAAAATGGAAAAAGTATACAATTCTGTCATCAACTTCCCTAGGTCTAAGACCAAATGACTAAAAACTATGAAAAGCAAAACCAAGTAATGCAAAAATAAAATTTTATAGATTCTTCAAATATACATGAAGACAATACAACTCTTGAAATAACAAGGGTATTAAATTTCTGTTATCACTTAAATCCATAATTTATTATGTTGTGTCAACATCACACTGCCATTAACAACCCCCAATGAGGCAGTCACTGAAACACTGATTTCTAAAACATGAAATGTAAAATTGAGTTATTGTTAACTAAGGAGACAAATCATAAGTATGAAAAGCTAACCTCTGCATACAAAAGAATATAAACAAAAAAAATTACAATTTAAAGAAAAAAATTTAAAACAGCAAAATAACTCAAAACAAAAACTAATTTCCCTCTTTTATGGCAACCAGGTTTAGGACATCACATGCCTCTAAAAAGGCTGACACAAGTAGACTTCACAGCAGTCATCAATGGGCTCAGACCAACAAACGTAACTCAAATAGCAATACAAAATGTTTAACTAGAGATGCATCACCTACACATGCGGTAAAACTTCTCCACGGTGGACAAGTAGATCATTTTGGCAGGACCGAATGTTGCCACTTCTTTATTTGGAAGTCCTGGAAGACTTAGGATAAAATCTCAAGTGGTACTACTAAGGCCATAAAGACATAATGCCTATCAAGACATAGGGAAGTTATGCTTCATATTTTAAAACACAACTCAAGAATATGACATGAAAATTGCTTCTGATCCTTAAAGATCCTGAATAATTTCTTGTGATTATTGTTTTTAAAGTTATGAAGTATCTCAAACATCCAAGACTATATAAATATGTAACTATATGCACAGATATACACTACACACGTGTATACGCGTTATTTTAAAAACCCACAAATTTACTACCCAAGTTAAAAAATCAGAGAAAATACTAAACTTTTCACAAATTTACATGACGTCTCTATACACAGGCCATGACAATCAAGAGAAGAGACAATCAGCCCATTTTTCTTCAGATCTTTCCATTATCTTACCGAATCCTGTAATCTGTGCTATCAAAACACCTTTCTAAATTCCGTTCTTTTAAAAATGCAGTTATTTTAAATTTCCAGTAGTAGATTCATGGGTAGTCTGTCAAATGGCCACTGCATTTTACCTCAGAAATGTTTCCTGAATGCATATACACCCAAAAATGACATTAAGACCTTTATTATAAATTCACTACAGAAATATACTGAATACAAGATAAGCAATACAAGGGAAGTATGCCTCCTTTTCAAAAACACCAGATGATACCAAATCACATCTTAGAGCTACAAAGTTGCACAGAGAGTGGGAAGACTTTATAGCTTCTTAAGAATTAGTTATTGGCAAAAACTCTGCAATTAAGTCATGAAACCTCAGCTTCGAGGAATATTCTTCCCTCCTCCTTCCCCTTTTGAAAGCCTCCACCATCACAGAATCCTTAGCTTCAGCTGGATTAAAAATCTCTTCAAGAACAGAGATCATATATTACCCATCTTTGTGTCTCCTGTATAGAATTCAGTCAATAATATTTGTTGTAATATAAACTCCAGTAAATGAGTTTCAGAAGCTTCAGTCCCAAAGCAAAACTGGAAAGAGAAGAGTTTAAGAATAAAAAGGAAAAAGAATAAAACTATAAATATTTGTGCAGTATATTTTCTTACCACCTAATTCAGAATCATGCACTAACACTGCAAAAAGGTGTTTGTGAAGAATAAAATGCATGACCTTAAAGTTCTCCTCACTTTCAGCATACTAAAAATTCACAAAATCTTTCACCTTAAACTCCTATCATCTTCATCCCAAACAAAGCTCTATGCATTTTAAATGGATTTCAAATGAGATCTAAATATAAAAAGGTTATACTTCATCACAATTTAAGTTCCTGAAATTGTATGCATAATTTGTGTGATTGTGCTTAAGCTCACTTAACAGATTCTCAGGATAACTGATTCAAAAAACCTTTAAGAACTACTAATCTAGCATATCAAAAACATATTATTTTCCAGATATATACAGTTAATGTATCCTACGTCAAGTATTTTTCCCTATTATTCACTGACAGAATCCTTACTGCAAAATTAGTCTTTAAAGAACTCCTTTAGCCCAGCCAAAAGGTTCCAATCTTCACAGCAACGTATAGCAACAATTCCCAGATCCAAAAAAGTTTACTCACAAATGCCAAAAAAAAAAAAAAAAAAGGCAAAAGAGGTTATACTGTATCACAAAATTGCCACGCTCTTATTTTTTAAAAAGATTTGGGAGAGAAAGAGGGAGTGAGCACACAAGCAGAGGCAGAGGGAAAAGCAGACTCTGTGCTAAGCAGGGAACTGGATGGGGGGGCTCCATCCCAGGACCCTGGGATCATGACCTGAGCAGAGGGCAGACACTAACCAACTGAGCCACCCAGGCGCCCCTTGCCATGCATGGTTTTAGACTGCTAAATAGACTTGTATCCTTTCATGGTAAAATGTCTAGGATATGTAAATTCCCTCCAAACTGAACAGACTTTTTAGAAAGTTTTAGTTTCAATTCCACACTGATTTGTCCTCCTTGCTGGACTTAACAGCTACCACTGTCAAAGGCCAAATCCCCTCATATGTACCCAAGTTGTTTCAACAGGGTCACCTTGATTATTCTCAGCCCAAGGCAGGGACCATTTACTGAGTAATTATTCAATAAATGTCTGCTGAATGAGTAAGATCCTCCGTCCCATAAAGCGGGCAGCCAGCCCCATACAGCTGCTCCAGGACGAGTTCAAGCTCTAAAAGACATCCCTCCCTCAAGTATAGAAGCAAAGTATCAGCAATGCTGACGCCTTCATACACAAGAAATGATGTGGTCGTGGATGCCGGTTTCCTAGCGGCCACCCTGGATCCCGGCATGGGTGTAGACACGGGCAGCCTCTGGCACATCCCGTGCGGCCAGTCGCACGTGGCCCTACCTTCCCGGGGACTCGGACGGTGACAGAACCTCCTGAGGCCTGCGGGGAACACACCCCTGGACCAGTAGTCTCAGCACTCGAGGTCCAGCCCCAACTTTGTCACCAAGTTTAAGTGTGACCTTGGAAAAATCATCTATGCCTCAATCTGCGCCTCTTATGAGCTGGAAAAAACATCCGTTCTACCATCTTCGCACCGAGATGCAGGACCCCACGGAAGCACACAGGCTTCTCCCGCGGTGGGCATCCACACCGCGGCCCCCCCTCCCCCGTCCCGGGCACCAACTGTTCAGGGGACCAGGACTAGCCGCGCCCGACCCCACGCCGAGGCCACACGGTGCACACCACCGCCATGACTACTCGTCCCCGACCAGAAGCACTGCGCCCCGAGCTCCACGACGCACAGAGCCCCCGGAAGGGAACATCCCGGATTTCATTTTAAAAACGCGGTGCCGTGTGAGGGAACTCCAGCACACTCGCACGGACAGGCGCCAACTCTCCGGAACACTTTCCTGCCGCGCGTGCACACAAACACGACCGCGGCACACCAGTACACCATCTGTCTCCCAGACCAGAAGCACGGCTCTCCTGGTCCAAACTCACCAGGAACATTCGTTAAACTTCCACCAGCGACTCGGGCCGAGAGTGCCGGGTCAAGCACCCCCACCCCAAGCCCACCTCCTGGGCCACTCTGCGCGGCCGTGGGATGGGGGGGATGCTCCCGCCGCGCCTCCGCGAAGCGCCAACCGACCTGTCAGGGGCCGGGGCGACTCCGCCTCCGCTCCCGACTTTCCCGCCCCCTCCCCGGGTCGGGAGCCCGCCCACCAGGGGCACCCCTTCCCCCTCGCCGGGAGGGACTTCCCGGTCCGCGCAGGATCCCCTCGCCTCCTCCCCTCCCCCACCCCGCCGCCGCTCCCCGGAGAGGTCCAGGTCCGGGAGCTGACAGTGGCTCCCGGGCCGCTGAGGCTCGCCCGGCTCCCGGAGCACTCAGGCCCGAAGCCTTGGCGGGCGGTTATGCTCACCGTGTCAGAGGCCGCGGCCGAACGAGAGGAGAGTGCAGGGAAGTGGGGAAGGGGGGCGGCCGCCAGCAGGCTCCTCCGCGTCCCCGGGTCGGCGGCCGATCCCTGCCGCCTGTCAGAAGGCGGCCCGCGGGTGCACGGACCGGCGGAAAGGCGAGCGAGGAGAAGAGAACGGCATGCGGCCGAGCAAGGGCCACCGAGGGGAGGCGGTCCCGCAACCAAGACGGGGATCGTCTCCCCCTCCGCAAAGCGAACCCAAAATGGCGGCGGGAGCGGCGGCGGCAGAGCGGCGGCGGCGGCGGCGGCGGCTGCTGCTCGGGAGGGAGGGCGGGCGCGAGCGAAGGGCGCCTCGTGCCCCCCCACCTCCCACCAGGCCCTCCCCGCGCCCCCCCCGCCCCCGACTCGGGCGGCGGCGCGCGCCCGCCCGCCCGCACACGCCGGACAGTCTCCCGGCTCGCCGCTCGCTCTGCCCCGGCCCCCGCCTTCGGCCGCCTGGCGCGCCCGCCCGCACGGCCCCCAGTTCCCCCGCGGCCCCTGTCAGGACAGCCGGGCGCGGGCCCTCACGCATACCTTCGGCGGCGCGAGCCCCGGCCTCCTCCTCCTCCACCGCCTCTTCTTTCCTCCCCCCCCTTCCCCGCCCCCACGGCCACCAACCGCCGCCACAGCCGCCGCCGCCGCCGCCGCCCCCCCACATGCCCTCCGCCCCTCGCGCGTGCGCCTCCCACAATCCCCCCCGCCGGACCGTTCCATTCCCGCCGCCGCGGGAGCGCTAGGGGGGAGGCCCGGGCCGCGGCGGAGCTGTGCCGACGGCTGGGGCTGCCGAGGGGCGGCCAGAGGTCCACACGACTCACCTCCGCGGCCGCCACTCCGCGCCGCCCAGGCTCGCTTTCTCGCTATGCAGCCTGGCCGCGTGGGGATCGTCTAGGGCGGCCCTGCTCCCCTCCGCGGGCGGGCGGTTGGAGGCCGCGGCGGCTGCGCGGTAAGCAGCTTCCTGCCCTACAGCCCGCGCTCGGCGGTCTTCTGCGGGGAGCTCGGGGAGCGGCCGGCACGCCGTGGGGAGTACAGTGCGGAGAGCAACCCTGCGACCCCGGCGCGCGCCTCGCGGGGAAGTCTTCAGGGACGGCGGGACCGAGCCCCCGCGAGGTAGGCAGAGGCGCCCGGGGCCGGCGGCCGTCCTCGGGGCTGGGACCGAGGGGGCGCCGCTTACAGCTGCGTGCCGCCCAGCCTACCCAGGCTTCCCCGCCCGAGGGGGTCGCGCGCGTTCTTCTGGGGTGGATGTTGCACCCTCACCGCCTCGGGCAACTTGGAAGCAGGAGTCTTTGTAACTGGGCTCCTATCTCCCCGGTCTTGCGTGCCCTTCAGAAAGTGGGTTTTTCTTGGTTATGTATCAAAAAGGAACGAAAAAATAGGCATCAAAATTGGTCGACCCGAAAGCGGCCTTCGGAGTTGGTGTTGACACGAGTTGGAGTTGTTCAGTCGGACACGAGGCACTGAAGGCAGAGCCGAGTGCGCGTTCCCAGCTTGGGCGATGCGGGGCGGCTGTGTGGCTCCGGTTGTGGCGCGTGTCCTGCCCCCCAGCTGGTCCACAAAACCGTGCTGACCCGAGGCCTGTCAGGTTTCTGCGGCTCCTGGCGCAGCTGTCTCAGAATTCTGCACGAACACCCCAGTGTTCTTGATGAGTAAGTTCAGGAGACTTATGGACTGTCAAAACCCAAAGTCTGCCTAATTCAGTCGGTTTCGTTTCATCCGGAGGGTTTCCCTTTCCTTTGCTTCTGCGAACTTCTAAGGGTCGAGGGGACACTTTGAAAATCAGTCTACCAGATTGACCTCAAAGCCCTATTCAAGCTCTGAAGTTTAAGCAGACATTTCCATGTTTGATCAGGTTTTGTTTGCTTTGTTTTCTTAAGGGAAAGAGCTTTAATGACCTCACTCTGTCTTTGCTTTTCCTACCCGTGTCTTTTTTTTAAAAAAAAGATTTATTTATTTATTTATTCATGATAGAGAGAGAGAGAGAGGCAGAGACACAGGCAGAGGGAGAAACAGGCTCCATGCCGGGAGCCTGACGTGGGACCTGATCCCGGGACTCCAGGATCGCGCCCTGGGCCAAAGGCAGGCGCTAAACCACTGAGCCACCCAGGGATCCCCCCTACCCGTGTCTTAAGTCTCAGTTCGTTCATGGAGCCCACTTAGGTTTGCTTCAGGTCTTTCTTTAATCGTGTCAGATACGCAAATGTGATACCCTACCAACATTTTTAATTTGATGGCAGGGACTAGATCTAACACTTCTTTTGTATGGTTGTATAGCCCTAATGCACAGTGAATGGTGGAAATGTTGAAAGAATGTTAGATACTTAAAATCTGAGAAGGGAAAGAGAATTAACGTTTGTGGAATGCTATGTCTGGAGAACACACGTTCCTGCTTGATTCTTAGAATGACACTTTGAGATAGATCATCCTAATCCCCGTTTTATACATGAGAAGCCTGAGGCTCAGAGAAATCCAGTAACATCTTTACATTTTGCTTTGCCTGTCCTAAAAACCTTTCTCACTGTATCGCGTTGTCTTCATAGTAAAAATTTGTCATCACCAACATAATTATATGTGTTACAAAGAAAAGCCCCTTAATGGGATTCCATTGCATCAGTATATAAAGAGAAGAAAGTTGCTTGCTTGTGGTCCCTGCCTTCATCTGGCTTTCATGAATTGTCGCCTAAGTATACACAAGATAGTACCCTGTTCTTTTGTATAAGCCTCAGTGCCTATTAAGTCTCAGTAAAGTGACCTTTTCTAATGAATGAAACCTGAATTACTTGAACCAGGAAAGGTATGGAAGGCAGAATAATGGTCCCCCAAAGATGCCTGTGGCCCAGTCCCTGGAGCCTGGGCATATGTTATATTACATGGCAAGAGGGAATTAAGGATGCAGATGGAATTAAATTTGCTAATCAGCTAACCTTAAAATAGGGAGATTATCCTGGATTATGTGGTAGGCCCACTGTAAGTACAAGAGCTATGAAAAGATGGAAGAGGGAGAAGAGTCAACATCTGAATGCTGCTATGTGACAAAGCCTTGACCAGCTGTTGCAGGCTTTGAAGATGAAAGAGCAGCCTCTAAAAGCTGCAAAAGTCAGAAAACCAGGTTCTCTACTAGAGCATCCAGAAAGAACACAACCAAACATATACACCTTGATTTTGTTCAACCACAGAACTCTGAGATGACAAATTTGTGTAGTTTTATGCCACTAAGTTTGTAGTAATTTGTCACAGCAGCTGAAAACTAATGCAGAAAGAGGAGCCAAATCATGATTGATCTCCAGAATACCTGCTTTGGATTGTGGTTTTGTGTTTTAATTCAAGAGTTTGTTTTATTTTAGGATTTTATTTATTTATGAGACAGCGCATGAGCAGGGGGGATGGGAGGGAATGAGCAAAGGGAGAGGGACAAGCAGACTCGCGCTGAATGTGGAATTGGATGCGAGACTTGATGCCAGGGCCCTGAGATCATGACCTGAGCAGAAATCTAGAGTCTGATGCTTAGCAGACTAAGCAACCCTGGCACCCCAGTGCTTTAATTCAAATGAGGATGTGGTTCATCTGAAAGTTTGCCCCAAGCAAAGTGATCCACACTCAACCAAGCTGCCTGGATTTCCTGTATTTTCCTGCTGCTATGCTTCTGGCATGAGTCCTCAGGCTGTAAATAGACAGCTGGGTTCTCTGGTCCTGCTGTATTGCAGCAGTCTTTGCTAAGCTGCCTTCAGACTTGCCTACTAGAATAGAAGCAATTAAACATTTATTACATGGTGCTTTCTTGTTGGGGTGTTGTCTAAATGCAGTATAGATAAGCAGGAAAACCTCTTCAGTACAAACTTCAAAATAAGGTTTCAAATGTTAAATTTTTTTAAAAAGATTTTATTTATTTATTCATGAGAGACATAGAGAGAGAGACAGGCAGAGACACAGGCAGAAGCAGTCCCTGACTTACAGAAAGTGTTAGTAATATGTTAGTTATTCGAGCCCTAGATTTTTTCCCAGTGCTTGTGTCACTGGAAATAAGGAAACATCAACGCGGACGCTCCTCATTTCTGCCTTGACCAGCATAGCTCTTTTATCTCTTTTATATGTTCCTACTGTCATTGTTCTTGAGTTGGTAAAAGTTAGATTACCAGAGGGGAAAAGCGCCTGGAAAACATACTCGAGTGGCCTTGTTTTACAGGTAGGACACTTAAGCCCAGAGAGGAGGAAGAAAGACTTGTAGGATCTTCAACCATGTTGTTTTTCTCTTGTAGAAAAGTTATGTGACAGGTACTCGTCTGAGCCCAAAGGTCTTATCAAACAGTCCTGAGGTAGATTTAGATGCCGTGTTGGGATAAGAACCTACTACTTTTAATTACTTATCTTCAATCTCTAACAGAGTTTGATGCAGCAGGGTTATCTGTCCAGTAGTTCATGCGAGAAATTATGTGTTAACTTTAAAGGATTCACTAAGAGTTTGTTGATTTAATTTTGTAAAATTTACTCTGCTGGGTAATAGCAACCTAATTCAGATTAAAAAAATATCAAAGACACCACTCTCCCTTCTCCTGCTCCCATAGGAACCCGTTCTTAATCCCTGAGAGCAACCAGTATTATCAGTTTTTGTATATCCTTCAAAATATGTACCTTTTTACAAACAAATTGTATATATATTTTCCCCCTTTTACACAAATGATGGCTAACTGTATATATTCTGTGCGTTTTCTTCCCTACTTAATATATATTGGAGATTTTTCCTAATTAGTATGCAGAGAGCTCCTAGGGTTGAGATTTTATTTATTTATTCATGAGAGAAACAGAGGGGGAGAGAGAGAGGCAGAGACACAGGCAGAGGGAGAAGCAGGCCCCATGCAGGGATCCCGACGCAGGACTCGATCCCGGGACTCCAGGATCACATCCTGGACAGGCGCCAAACTGCTGAGCCACCCAGGGATCCCGGTTGTTTTGTTTTTAAACAACTGCATGATGTTCCAGTGTATGGCTATGCCTTATCCACTGGTGACAGATATTTAGGTTCTTTCCATTTTAATGTTAGAAATAGTGTTGCAGTTGAATAATCCTATATACATAGCAATCTCCTTTTATCAGTCGCTATAAAAATGGTTTTGATTAGGTTAAAAGGTTAAAAACTTTTAACTTGGACACCTTACTGAAGTTTGGACAATTTTTATTAAATAAACAGTGTTATTAATACTGGTAATTTTTGCTAATAACATTGCAAAAAAATAAAAAAAAAAGAAAGTTACCTGTAACATGAGCACTGCAATAGGTTAGATTGTTTTTTTGTATATCCTTTTCTTTAAGGCTTCATCCATCTCCACTTCAAAAGGACAATCTAAATGTACCATTGGATTGAGATCAATTTACATGTACCCCGGGCCCTAAAGGTCTAGGGTGTGAAGACCAGGCATGTGCGTTCATGTAACATGCCTTCTGTGAAGCCTTCAGAAACCTTTCAGATGTTTCACCAGTCTTGCTTGAGTCCAGTTCTTGAGGAATTTCGCAGGTTCAGTTTGTTGAGAATCCAGGGTGTCCCCAGCCTCAGAAAAAATCCTAGTTCTGCCCATTTCCTCCTTTTGCTTTCTCCATTAGAGTTAATCCGTTGCATTGTCCCTTGCTCCCTTATCCTTGGGAGGGTGAATACTTATTGTTTCCAGCAAAAATACCTGGTGGTAGAACACAGAGCTTATAGAAGTTTGCACTTGTTCAAGTTTGTCATAATCAGTATGTTTCAAAGAAGCTCCTTTACTTTGAGAGCTCAAATGTTTCTCTAAGAACCCAAACTTGGGGAAGTAGATATAATGATTAAAGAAAGCAGCATAACAAATCCTGTTTTTTTCTAACTGCAATTATGAAAGCAGTGAGATTAGTCTCTGTGAACCAGATTTTTCCTAAAGGACTCAGGATTTAGAATAATCTTTCTCAACCTCAGCACTCACTATTGACATTTGAGGCTATGTAATTTGCTGTGGGAGCCTCTTCTGTGCATGACAGGATGTTCAGCAAAATCCCTGGCCTCTGCTCACTAGATGTCAGTAGCACCCCTCCCCCGAGGTGTGGCAACGAAAAATTCGTCCAGACATTACTGAATGTCCTCCAGAGGGCAAAATTGCCCCAATTGGGAGCCATTGGTTTAGAAAAAGAATTGCTGATCACCAGAAAATCAGTCTAGCTTCAGTAGAGAAAAAGTCACAGCAGACCAATACATCTTTTTTGTCTGAATTCCTAGAATGGTAAATCAAGATAATGTCATTATGTATCATGTCTTCAGTAAAGTAAGGCATTTGACAGTCTCATTATGGCTTTTTGAGGAAGTATGTCCTAAATGTTTAAGTGTTTGAATAATCATACCCAAAGACTCCATGTTAAATAGGTTGAAATTCCCTTAACGATTGACATCTGTGTGGGAGTTCTTAGTCTTAGCTGCACATTGGAATCAGCTGGGGAATTTTTTTTTAAATGCCAATGTATTTTAAGTCTCCCTACAAGAGATTGTGATTGGTCTGAGATGGGATCTGGGCATCAAACATTGTAATTTCAGGCGTACCTCGTTTTACTGTGCTCGGCTGGGTTGCACTTCACAGCTATTGGGTTTTTACAAATGGAAGGTCTGTGGGAACCCCGTGTTGGTGCCAGTTTTCCAATA